ATAATATGAAATAAGGTGCGAAACACATTACAAATATATATACATATAATGTCATAACTTGCAAAGCGTAAAGAAAATAAACATATTATACTCGTATATATTGTATATATATTTAAACAACATAATATGTAGTATTGTGTACATGTACATATGACATAGACACGTAACATGGATATAGGTTAAAATATAAATTACAGAAACTAAATGGATGCAAATGTAAACATGGCAAGATTTAGGGTATGAAACACAAATAGCTTAAAATTTGAGCATTGTAATCACAATAAAACCCTGAATATTATTCGGAACCATAATGGAAATTATTAAAACAATATGCCAAATGTAAAAAGCAGCAGAAAATGAAATGTACATGTAAAGAGCACTAAAATGTAAGAAAATCACAAATATGATGTCACAAGAGAAGGTTTCCATTAATATAGACCGATCGCTATAATAAAACATACAAAACATTGAGGACTTAAACTATTATTATCCCCGAGCTTAAAAACGCACAAATCCTTGCATCTTAGACACATACACTACTTGAGAGAGAGAGAGAGAGGTGTACTGAATAGGGATATAAAAAAATTGACTCGACTTGCAAAACTGAATGAAATCGATATGAGTCAAAATTATTTATGGACCCAAGGTGATGGTGATCTGAAATCAATTCGAGTTCGAACTAATGTTGACCTGAACCCGAGTTGGACTTAGAAACATGCACTCGTGTTGAAAACATTTTGATGTTTCGATATAACAAATTAAGTGCTATTGTTATTGAATTTTAAGATTTTTACAATTATTTTTAAAGTATATTCGATTAAATTATTCGAATATCAAAATATTACTCCAAGTTTTTCAAAGATCAATTTCAATCCTTACTAAAGTGTAAAATTGTGTTTTAAACTTAAAATATTTTTGAAACAATTTTTACAAAGTATTTTCGAACCAAAATCGAGCCAAAAATCAATTTTATAAAGGGATGTACCGATGCACTCTTGGATGTATCGATGCACACCCTAATTCGAATGCATTTTGTGTACCGATACACAGCCATGTATCAATGCACTTATGATTTTATTGAAACATTTAATGCATTTTATGTACCGATGCACAGACCATGTATCGATGCACTCCTAGCTCTTTTAAAACATCGAATGTAATTAGTGTACCGATGTACCCCAAGTGTACCGATGCACTAGGTCAACTAACGGTCGAAATATTTGAAATTTACACATAGTGTACCGATGCACCATTGAGAGTGCACCGATGCACCCACCCTCCCACCAATGATCCCCAACGTTCAGAAGTGATCCAAGGTGTATTTAAACAAGCTTAGAAGCCATTGATCAACAACAATTGTGAGGGAAACAAAGAGAAAACCTTAAACATCAAGTTTGAGCAATTCAAGCCTATTTTCATTCAATAATCATTTTTGCTTTCAAGAACACTACTTGTACTCAATTGTATTCATTCTTGAATGTTCTTTCTTTGTTCTAGAATTGTGCAAACATATTGCCTAGTGAGGTTTTTCTGTAAGTTTGCAAAATTTGTATTCTTCTCTTTGGGAGAGAGTGTTCTCAAGAATTTGGGGTATAATTCTTGAGAGAGTTGTAAGGTTACTCTTTGTCCTCAAAAGAAAGAACAAATTAGTGAATTTGTTGGAAAATCCTTAGTGTGGATAGCTAAGCTAGTGGACGTAGACTTTGGTTGAGAAAGTGAACCACTATAAATCGTTGCGCAAATATTTTCAATTTTCTACAAAAGCTTCCACCAAAATTTTTATTGCCAATTCACCCCCTCTTGGTCGATTTGTCGATCGATTAACTCAACAATTGGTATCATAGCCTCACTCATTTGAAGGTTTAATCGCCACTTGATTGGATTCGAGAAGAGTTATATCGATATTCAAGTCATCAATGACCTCCACTTCGAACGTCGACTTTGGTCTTGATTCAATGCCCGTCAACAAGCCTCCTTTTTTCAATGGAGCTAATTATTCTTATTAGAAGAATAGAATGAGGTATTTCATTCAATCAAGTGACATGGGAGCATAAAATATCATAGAATACGGATACATCATACCTTCCACTCATTCAAGATTGTGGAGTGAAAGAGAGGCAAGAATGTTCCAGCTCAACTCATCCATATTATATTTTGTGCTCTTAGACCAGATGAATACGGGAGAGTTTATCTTGTACAACCGCCAAGGAGATATGGGATAAACTACAAGTCACTCATGAAGGCACAAACGAGGAAGAATCTAAAATTAGTCTTCTAACTCATAGCTATGAAAATTTCAGGATGAAACCGGTTGAAGACATCAAAGCTATGACGGATAGATTTTCCGTGATTGTCAATGGTCTCAAATCATATGAAGAAATTGTTCCAAACGATAAGCTTGTAAGAAAGTTAGTTTACTCCCTTCCAAAATCTTAGTAATCAAAGAAGACGGCGATAATCTAGGCTAAAAACTTAAAATCTTTGACCCTCGATGAGCTAATTGGTTCTCTTCTCATGCATGAAATAATTCTTCAAGATGAGGTAGACCTCAAAAACATGGATGAGACAAAGAAAGAGACGGAGAATAAGAAGAACATTCAAGTTTCTCTTAAATCCATAAAAGATGAGAGTGATTCAGATGAAGATGATGATGACGAGGAAATGGCATTTTTTGCCAAGCGGTTCAGAAAATTAATGAAGCCCAACAGAGGAAGAAAATTCAAACGAAATGAAGGCTTCAAAAATGAACCAAAGGAAAAAGACCCTATCATTTGCTACGAATGCAAAAAGTCGGGTCATATCAAGTACGATTTCCCACAACTGAAGAAGAAGGGTCAATCGAAGAAAAAACACAAGGCACACGTGGCTACATGGAGCGATGAAGAAGCTTCTGATGAAGAGGAACAAGAAGTAGCAAACTTGTGCTTGATGGCCATCGAGGAAAGCTCTCAGGTAACCTCTAACTCATCCAATTTTGAAGATTATTCTTTTGATGAGCTGTTAGAGGAATATATTGGGTTGACTTCGGATTATGAGAAATTATTTTTAAAATATAAAAATGATATTTCAAAATTGAAAAATGAAAATAATCTCAACAATTTTGGGCCCAATACCCTAGAAAAATTCCCTCTATAAATACCTAAGGTACCCTGCGTTTAAAAGAGGCTTTGAGGAGCTTTTGGAAGGTTACCTAAGAGAGAAAGGCAGCTACACATTCTTCATTTTCTTCCTCCTTTTCACCATTTTTTCATGGTGTCGTTCATAGCTGAGCTTCAAGGAGGTAGAAGCTAAACTTCGAGAGAGGCTAGCTTGCTAAGGTGGTGCATGGCAGTGGAGCTAAGGGAGTCGAAAACAACTCATTGGGTGTTTTCTTCTCCTTGTGCTTATTTTTTTTATCTATTTGGGATTTTACTAAACTTGAATGATCTTGGATGAACTTAGCCACACCATGTATTACCTATTTGGTTTTGGATTTGTGTTGGATGATTTTATTTTATGTTAATAGATGGTTTGATGTTTTTATGTTCAAATGTTCTTTTTAACACTATTTTTATCTTTATGCATTGTAGCATTGTAATAGTTTTTGAGAGATTTTCGTTTGTTGTAATAAAATATGCTTAGTATTGTAAGGACTTTTGAGAGATTTCCATTTTCTAAGTATCGAGAGAGCTAGGTTAAATCAGTATGAGCAAGGAAGCCAAACTGGGATGGGGAGGTTCTAACCCACCTTATAGATAAGGAGAGGGTTTCATTTGACTAAAAGGGATATAACTTAATTGATAGACTAGTGTTGTAGTTTACGCTAAGAGGTATTGTCGTGGCATTAATTTTATCAAGTTCCCTGCTAAAGAGAGTTTAGGAGCATTTTTAGCAAATCATGTTGGGCAGCACACTCATAGGAGCAAAAATCATCTGCAACATAGAATAAGTTTTCCATAGCAAATCCATGCCAGTTACCTCTAGAAATGCTTGATTGTGTGAGGTTGTAAATCTTATCTTATTTCCCAACGTTCAATTTATTTTTCCTGCTTTAGCATACTTTTTATTTTACTTAAATTCTTGCCTCAATATAGTTTTACATTTTCAGTCATTTTCACTCCACTCCACTCCATTCTTGCCACAACATTCCATCACCCTTTATATATATCATCTGCCACAACTATACTTTCATTTGTTTATACCATCGTAAATATATATTTAGGTTTAATCGTGACAACTTTTGTTTTCTATAGCTTAGTTGCAAAATACCTCCAATCCCTTTGGAGATAATACTCCCTCACTGCTGTATTACTTGCATCGATTGTTTATACTTGTAGAGAATTGCATGCTATAGCACAATATAATTACACTCGATCACTTGGTAGCTTTCCTTGCACATGATTATTGAGAGTTACCATTTGTTCCATCTGATTCTCTAGAGCCCTTGACGGTACTGATTGGCTCGCCATGTATTCTTTCATCAAAGCTTCAAGAGATGATAAAGTTAAAGTTTGGGTTAAAGATTATCCTTGATAAGTTTACCTTTGTTGTGGCTGAGCAATTGGATGTTGTGCTTGTAGTTGTGGCATTGGTTGTTGTTGATTATAATGTTACTGCTGGTAATGTTGTTGTTGTGGATTGGTTACATTCTGACTTTTCCAAGAAGGATTGGGATGATTCCTGAAATTGACATTATATGTGTTTTCAAAAGTATTTCCATTCCTTTGATAATTCTGTACGTAGTAGATAGACAATAAATTTTTGAGACATTCATCAAATCAATACTAAAATATGAGATGCCATAGGGTTGAAAGCTTTAGAATCTACTACTACAGCGACGTCAGCCAAACATATTTCTCGTATTAGGGTATTGACAATCATTAGTTCAGATCCTCTCAATAATATCATAAGCATCATTAGATGTCTTATCTAATAAATCTTCGTTCGCTGAAGCATCGACCACCATATGAGTGTGTAAGTTTAACCCATTGTAAAATATCTTCATTTGCGTCTAATGTGGGAACCCATGCATAGGACACTTCTGCAACAAATCCTTGAATCTTTCCCATACTTCATAAAAGCTTTCATCCTCTATTTTCTTGAATAAAATTAGATCATGTCAAAGTTTGGCATTCATGTTTGGCGGGTTAAATCGTAACAGAAACTTATGCACTAACTCATTCCAGGATGTTATAGCATTTGATGGCAGTGAACTCAACAAAGCTCTTGATTTATCACGCAGTGATTAAGTAAATAGCTTCAGCTTCAGTGTCTCCTCTAGAACACCTTGTTGAATAAACGAGTCGTAAACATCTATGAACACTCTCAAATGAGCCTTAGGATCTTCAGTAACAGACCCTCTATACTGTCCCATCGATTGTAACATTTGGAACATGATCGGCTTTAACTCGAAGTTTACAACATTAATCATTGGCCTCACTATGCCTGGATGCAGATCATCTAGCGTCAACACTACATGCTTACAAATACAGTGATCATGATCATCAATGTTATGAAATGGTTGTCTTGCTCTAATGCCAGCGGGCAACTCACTATTCTTTCCATTTTGCAACGGGGGTAAAACACTATTCCCTCATTCAGTTATAGTTGTTATGTTCTTTGTGGCTTTACAGTAAAATATCTCTTAAAAGTCCTTTCAATTTCTGGATCAAATGACTCTAATTATTTATTGCTTTGGGGCATACACTAGAAGAAATGTAAACTATAAAGTACCTACAAAAGAAAATAACAAATTAAGCAAAATAAAGAAAACTCTAAAACAAACAAATGCTCACCAATAATGGCGCAAGAAACTTAATTCTTGGTAAAATGCTTCAACTTAAGTGCAAGTGTACACAAATGCCCAAGTATTAAGTGGTAGCTCAAATAGATATGGGTATCATATCCACGGGGAGAAAAATGTTCTTCATCAGAGTTTAAACATTAAAGAATGATGGGTATGAAAAATATGCTAAATAAAGGATGTAAAAATCAAGGTAAGAGACACCATGTCTTGCTACAGCAGTACAGAGAACATTAAGTCAACTATCAAAACACAAGGAATGATATTATGAAAATCTCATTTTAAGTAAACAAAGTGTACTTGTTGCGTGTTGTGAGTATTATATATTAGACGCAATTTATGTGCAAGTATACACAATCACACAAGTAATAAAGTGAGGAGTGAGTATCGAATCCATAGGGATTGGAAGGATCTTGAGTAAAGTTTATACATTATTCTAAAGTAACTAAGTATAGCTAATGGAATTCACAAATGATTATATCGAGGTAAATGAAATGTGTATGTATGGTGGAAGGATGGTAAAGTGAATGAGTAACAAATGGAAATGTCACGGGGAGATGATACTTTATGTCATGGCAAAATAGATGGAAATGTCATGGCAAAGGAAATGTTTGCAATGTAGGCAAGTGAAAATGTCAAGGCAAAACAGAATGTAAGCACGATAATTAAGTAAAATGACTTGGTAATCCTCAAATGGTAGGCTATTACGGGAATGAATGATGGGGTAACTTAGGAAACTTAAATCTTATCTTTTAGGGTGATCTAACCTTCTAATGCCTTACTTTTTTGACGGAGTTTGCAAAAAGTATTCTACGATATTTCTAGTCAAATAATCTAACAGAATAGGATGCCATGGCATCTCCCCTCGGCCTGAGTAGTGACACACTAAACCATTGATTACGTTTTACCCCTCTTACTCGTTGAAATCCTAGCTTAGTTTCTCTCGAATACTAAGGGATTAGGTTCTAGTAATTAACTACAACCCATTGCTTCTTCCAATCTTACTTTAGTTTCTTTTGAATACTAAATAATTAGTAACTACGTTTCTCTCAAACACTTAGTCTTCTACATAAAAAATGGACACTCTCATGCCTCTTACAATCTTAAGAGATTAAGAACTCATAAGCAAAATGAGTAATAAGCAGAAGAAAACAACAATCATCAATTCAAAATAAAGATCAAGTATCCATCATGAGCCCCACCACATAAAGTTTAGTTCATGGTGGGGTTTGAATAATCCATGAAATAATCCATGAGATTCATCTGTTCTTTACAACCAGAAGATAATGAATAAAAAAAGCAAAAGGGTGGAGGAAAATCTTCCAACGCGTACTGTCGAAGCTTCCTTGGCGATCCTGAATAACTTTAGTGATGCTAGCTCCTCTCAGATTCCATACTCACAATTCCCTCAAGCTCACCAATAGAGGAACGCCACGGAAGGGATAATAAAAAGAATAAGAAAACTAAGAAAAGTTTCAGCTCACCAAACTCCCAAAATGAGATAATGAAAAGGATGATGATAGATCCTTTTTTCCAATTGCCTTCATATTCTATAAATATCCAAGGAATGCACTTAGGGTTATGTACCAAATTTCCCATAGTACGTTAGGACCATTCCCTCCATGTGAATGTGAGTACAATAGGTTATAGTTGGCTCTTTTTAGGTGGTTAGCTGCAACAAACATGGGCTGAAAATATAATTTTCATTTGTGAAAATGTCTTCTTTATCTTTTTCCGTGCCCAAAAATAACAAGGCATTGCATTCTGCTCCACCAACTTGTTATGCCACGGCATCTTTCTTCTCACACATTTTCTCCTTACATCTTGCAAATAAAAAAAACAACCAAACCTTCCCCATAACATAGCACTTTCACAAACAAAATGGCAAGGTAAAACACACCTACTAAATGCAACTACATGATTCTAAATGCATCTAAAATGAACCTATATACGCCTTTAGACAATCAATAACTTAAGTGAAAAGGCCTTAAATATATCCTTTTTACGGATTTATCAATACTACATATGTGATTAGAAATGATTAAAACTCTTTGAACTACTCTAATCACTTTTATTTATTAAAGGTTCCAAAGTATTAACAAAGCTAATCGATTGGATGTATGCTTTTCAACACACACATTGCTAAAGCAATACTAACGTTATCAAAAGTGCATAGCAAATCAATCAAATCTATTTCTAGAAAATAACTGAAAATACCATACATTTAATCATTAGAATTTCTACTAATAATCATGAAGCAATAAGCACATAAAAGTAGTATAAAAAAGAAACATAAAATATCATCCATAAAGTTAAAACATCCAATTCACTCCCTCTCTCAATAGAAGGCTTTGAATGGTGATCTACTAACTGTTGATGCCACTCAACGTGCTCTCTTTATGGTGCAATAATCTCTTATATAGGGCTTAAGCTTCTATGGCATCTGAAAGATTAACGTGGAAAATGGGTACTTTCTAATGGCTTCCCATCTTCACACTTTTTAAGCTTGCAAGTACTCCCATTTATAGCTTTGAGGAGATTTTTATCCTCCAATGAAATCCTTCCATGTTTCAGGTGGTTTCCATCCCATTGATATGTTAGAGTATGCCCAAAGATCAATCATATGATGATTGTAATAATACTTTTATTTGCCGATTTTATTAAATAAAGGCATTGTCACTATTATTTTCAGTTATATATATGTGTTTAACATAAACTAGAAGATAATAAAGTCCACATAATGACATAATTGTTATTATTAAAAGATCCCTAGTCAAGTATTATTATGGTCATGGACAATAATAATACGCTTAACACTAACATGTTATTGATTGATGACAACGAGTTGTCATTGACATAGAGATGTCAGAATTGATACATGATTATATTGTTAGAGAACAATGTATTGGATTGACCCACCATGAGCATATGTCTTGGATTATTATGTGACAGTCATAATATTGCTCATGGTGATGTCTATATGTATGATCCTCAGACTTGAGATCAATACTATCCCAACATATATTGTTGTATGTTTTGATACAGCTAAACAAGCTTCGTAACTGGTTGCTCTATAAAGACTGTTATTGAATATATCTCAATATATGTAGTGGGTGTGTATGATTAAGATAGGATATGTCCTTCCTACATAATAGGAAATATATCACAGGCCACTTGATTGAGTAAGACTAGAAATGCATGGCCATGCTCGAATAAGTTGATATGAGATATCATAAACTATTCGTTAATTAAAGTCTACTCTAGAAATCAAGAAACAATAAATGGGCTATACAAGTGTGATTATTCCAAGACTTGTGCCTATTCTAGATATAAAGGACATAAGGATATAATACATAAAAGAGTTAATCACCAAGATGATATGTCAAATCATATTTTCTTGTAACTTAGGTGACAATGATATATTGCTAGATGTCACTCATTGTATGTAATATCAGAATTGTTCTAATAATTACTTCTAATGTTACAAGAACCTACAGGGTCACACCCTAAGATTGAAACGATCAAAGATGTACTATTTGTTGTATGTTACTAAAATATATCTAGAGTTAATTAAGTATATATTTTAATAATCCTGAATATTTAATTTCAATTAATTAAATATAGATTTAATTAATTTGAAATAATAAAATCCCTGATATGATTAGGGTAACTTGGATATAAAAGGATTATTAAATTTCAATTAATTAAATATAGATTTAATTAATTTTAAATAATAAAAACCCTAATATGACTAGGGTAACTTGGCTATAAAAGGGTGTGTTAGGTCTAGCAGCCGTTTTTGTGAGAACACAAACAAAACTTTCAGCTACTTTCTCTCAAAACTGTTTTGGGGGAAAACAAAATTGCACTCAATCGGGTGAACTGAGTAGAGGCTGAGACGTGATTTCGTGGAGGCTTACGATTCGAACCGATCTACACCACCAGAATTCACTACTTTCCTTGTTGTTTTTCAAGGAACCCGCTGTAAGTATTCGCATCTCTTCCTCCCGATTTCAGTTTTTCGTACTTGGATCGCTGGTGAGGCCGTCGAGTTTTGTTTCCGCTGCGCCATGGGGTGCGCCGACGGTCCCAATAGTGGTATCAGAGCCACTTGTACGATCTGGATTTGGGTTAAATTTTTTGTTGATGCGATATGTATGAGATGCATGTTCTAGATCTATCGATTTTGGTAAATATGCTGATATTATTGTACGAATCGATAACCACAACGATTAATATATTAATTTATTAAAATGTTTTACAATTGATTTGTTGCTGGATGATCTATGGGAGTGCGATAGCAGATCGCGTTTGGAAGTGGAACA